GAAAAAAAGAAAGTAGCAGCTTTGTGGGGATTTCCTCAAGATAGTTACCTAAAGATTTTTGTTCTGAGATCCCCCATCTTGAGGTGCTTTGTTAGTACAGCCATGGCTTTAGACTGATAAATACAATTTTGATAACAGTGTGGGTTCTGTGAACAGATCTGCAGATTAGCTGTATTGACATCTGCTGCAGGGGTGTAAACATGTGGGTCTATGCTAGAGGCGAGAACCTGATCTTTTGCACCCAAATCCCATTTCCCAACTGCTATGCCATCCTTATGTCTGTTCACATCCACTTTCAGATTTGGTATTTTCACCTGAAATTACTAAAATGGCAATTTTCAGAGACATATGTCTTTAAACTGAGTAGTGCCAGTTTAACAGCAATGAGAGATTTTCTCTCTAATTGGGTATGGCTGGGAACTCCCACAAACTCCAAAGTTTAAACACCCCTGGAGAATCTGCCTGTGCTGGGTGGAGGCTGAGTTAAGGTCAGAAGGTAAGTACTAACATAAACATTCTTTTTTCTTAAAGTGTTTAAGTGTCTGTAGTGAAGCTACTTAAAAATTTATTAGGGCATCTGCTGGGCTGGGCTAATCTAAATTCTCTGCTCTGTTTAGTTCATGTGCCAGGTAGACTAAGCATATAGCTCAGTAGTTACTCATCAGCTAGAAGCTGCAGGAGAGAGAAAGCAAGAGAAAGACATTTTTTAACCAGGAAATGAATCCTGCAGTGCAGTTCAGAGTCGAGCAAGGCAGCTGTGAAACCACCCACTGAGGGGACAAAGTGTGGGAAGGCAAAGGTAGGTGGGAGAACACAGTGCCAGCCTCTAGCACCGTGATGGTTTCTTCTGGGTTTGAGCAAGAAAGCTGGCCCATTTGGCATGCTGGACTCTGCTCCCAGCTCCAGGGCTAAAGAGCACTCCACATTGAATGCAGATAATGCTGTTTCTAAAAGACCATCCCCTCTTAAACAGTTCTTGCATCGCTGAGAAGCATCCTCAGAGAAATTCAGGACAGGCATGTCACTAAGGCTCACTAGGAAGTAGGATCGAACTATGGAGTTCAGGCAAAAGCAGTAAAAACGTTTGTATATAGGCATATTTTGTGTTGAGATTTTTCCTAAATATTAATTAAGGCTAAAGGTACTGCATGCGAGATGTGATTATTTATTTGGCTGCAGTATAAATTGCTGGCATGAACAATTCTTCAGCAGTGTCTTGGCTACTACAGCAGCCCCAAAATGCCCTGGATGGTGATACATTTTTGCTATGGGAATCAGAAATTGCTTAGGTAATGTAGGCAGGTTTTCCATGTCTGCTCTCCATATTCTCTGCGTGTCTTTGGTCACTTGTACCTTTTGCAAGACTCAATTTCTTCATCAGGTACAGTCAAACGTATCTTTTCAGGAGCAAGTAACACCAGGTCAGACCACTGGACTGCTTGTAAGCCCAGTGGTTCATACGGCTGTCATGCTGTGGCTTTAGCTGCAATATCTGTTAGAACACCTCTTCTTTTGTCCGTCTGCTGGTATGGGCTGGCTCATGAATGATAGCAAGTTTTTCTGTTAATTTGTGGAGCTTTTGATATTTTACTTCCACAAGAATTTATAAACCCACTCAGCTTCTGTAACTGCCCAGTAGCTTGGCATACTCCAAATGCATTTTGAGAATCAGCATAAATATTTATTGTCTTTTCTTTGGCCAGCTGATAGACCTTTGTTGATTAAATTAATTCGGCTGTTTGTGCGCTTGGTTAGAGACTGAGTGGTGAAGCCTCCACTACTTCATTCACAGTAGTTATTGAATAACCCATGAACCTGGTTGCCATTCAGATAATATGAGGATCCTTCGTTAAATAGTTATAGACTGAGACTTAGAAATGGCACTTCTGTTAAATCTTTTTGAGTCTTTTCACCTTCACAGGTGCTTACTACACAGTTGTGATGTGGAGTTCCTTCCCCGGGTTAAGGGAGTAGAGTAGCAGGGTTCAGCATGTTAGTTACCATCCCAGAGGCTATTCCTTGCCCTTCTCGTACAAACAAGGAAAATGGTTTACTGTAGTCTGGCAGTCCCAGGTCAGGTGGAGCTTGCTTCAAAAGCTTGAATGTTGTCCAATAATCTTGTCTGTTGTCCACTGAATGGGTTCTTCAGCACCTTAAGTAATGATCAGTATCAGGGCTTCTACCATTTCCTCAAAAGCAGCTATCCAGGGGTAGCAGAATCCTACAGCTCCTAAAAGGGATTGTGTTTGTTTTTAGTAATGGGTCAGGAAGATTTTGAATGCTTTAACATGATTTTCAGATAAACGCTGCTCCTCTTGTTGGAGAATGTAACCCTACATGTAATTCTACACTTCTCTTATAAATATTGTAACTTCTGTGGAGAGGCCCAAGGGCCCTTTTCAGCTAAGGTGAGAAGTAAGGAACAGGTGTCAGCTATACAAGATTCATTGTCTATTAATAAATCATCAACATATTTGTCACAAACTGTTCATAAACAAAAAACTGTTCATAAAGAGGATGTCTCAAACAACTCGAGTGGGACGCCCTGTGGGGGAGAAGCAGAGCAAGCTCTGCAGAGGTGGGGCAGTGAGCTGTTTCTCTCCCCCTCCCTCCTGTGGTTGCCCAGAGACAGAACTTGCCTAACTGTGCAGGTACAAGCCAGAGAAAATGAGAATCTTCTGAAACAGCCTATTGAGCATGCGTAAGAAAGATTATATAAAGGCAACACCCCATGTGTGTCTGTGTCGACCCATCACCTACAGACCAAGTTTGTTACTCTAGGACAACGCGGGATCCAAGGGCGGTGATTCCCCTTTTCCTGTTTCCTTTCTTCTCTTTCCTCTTTGTGCTCTCTCTCTCCTGCTTACATATATTCATGTATATAAGTTTTGTATGACTTGCAGCAGGCTGTTAGGAAAATAGTCTCATTACCAAAGTGCCTTTATTCTCTTGTTGCCAAATTGTCTCCACCCATTCACTAAAGTTGTCAGTTAATAAAGTTATCAGCAAAATTGTTCCTCTGAGTCATAGTTGTGACTTGACCCACTCTGTGGCCCTGCCGAGCAGAGATGGGCTCTTCCACCTGCAAGCAGGCTCTTAAGGAATTCGAAAGATTCACCCCCCTCCTAACCTACTGTGTGGAATGAGACAACACTGTATCAAAAATGGATCAATTTTTTTTTTTCTTTAAACACAACATCCTGCAAATCTTTTACCAAAATTTTAGAAAAATAGTGGAGGACTGAGTGAAGTCCTGAGGGAACCTTGCCTATGTTAGCTCCACCTTTTCCCAAATAAATGCAAAAAGGCATTGAATAGGTATACTGATTTAAGGTAGAAAAAGTTGCCCTGTCTTCAGTATGTCAAGGGCTGTGTCTGCCCACCTTTAGAGAATCTCAATAGGAATGGGCAACTAAACTGAGCCCTCAGAGCAAGACTCGGGTCCAGACCCAGGCACCTAAATGTATGTGAGCTACATGTGTCAGGTCCCTGTATAGTCAGTGGAGATATATGCAGTGGATCTAAAGACTGAAGAGACTTTACCAAAACCAAGGGCTTTTTTTTTCTGTCAGAAGCTTAAGACAATTAAAATCTACTTACAGCTGACAGTTATTCTTAAATTTAAAATGAGACAGGTTTTTATTCTCTATTTGTCATTGTTCATCCCACATAATTTAATGCCATATGGAATTTCTTGTTCATGTAAAATGATACCTAAGGCTTTTCGCTCCCTCTGCTTTTGTTCTGCAAACAATAGATAAATTTTCCAATAGGTTTAAGTTTCATATTCTTGAAGTCTTTGGCTTTTTTAGTTAAATGAAAAGTCTTACTGCAAGTTTCTGCACATTACAAGTTGGGGAGATGTGTGTTGAAATGATAATGATGCAATGTATCTGAGAAATATGATAATAGAAGAGGCACTACTTAGCTGTTGTAAACTACATAGATAAGCTGCACTGCCATACAGTGAAAGCTTGTCACGCAACGTGCACTGTTTTAGAGGCAAAGCATTGTAATTAGCAACAGCTATTTGTACTTTAGAGCTGGGGGTGATAATTTTTTCCTTTATGTGTATTTGGATTATATTGTCTAAATAACCCAAAATATCCCTATTTATTGTAGTAACATGATTTAGTTCTTACCAGAATTGCTCAAGGGAGAACCCTCAATCTCATTGCTCTTTAAAATCAAGTTTTGGCAGAATAAGTTCCAAATGTACTTTAAGTATACTTATACAGCACTGTGACTTGAAGAAAACACATCAGTACATACTGAACCTGATTTGAGTGGGAAGTGGCATGCTGATGTGACAAACATAATGTTGCAGCTTTGGCTTTTAGCTCTGAGAAAACTGGGGTGTCTGTAAAATTATTTTTTCAGAATGGGCACTCTGGTTTCTAAGCCATTAGGACATAATTAGAATATCCGGTTTTAAGCTTTTTGTTCTCCCAATCATTAGCGCATGATGATAACATCTTTGTGAATGCTAGTCCCATTGTGTTTTAGTAATTAGAGCAGTGAAGCACAGAGAAATTAAGGCCTGAATTTGCAAACACTTACATCCAAGTGTCAGCACAAATACTCCAGCTGGTTGTCCCTACACATGAAGCAGCTCAATATAGATGGGCTGTCTCTGCCTCACACTCCGTTGCTCATGGTGTAAGGAGAGGTGCTGTTACAGCAAGCTGCAGACAGCCTCTGATGTGCCGGTCCCCTGGGCACACAGGTCTCCCGTGCCCTGGGGATGCTTTGGGGGACATCTGAAGCCAGTGGAGCTAGGTTTCAGATCGGGCTTTGAGGGACACCTCAAGGCTTATGTAAGCAGCAAGGAAATCGGCTGTAGCCGTTCAGTAGGACTGCCAAGGAAGCTCAGCCTGTTTGATGCAATAAAGGGAAGATTAACAATTAATTTGCCCCTACATGAGAAGGAATCGGATGGCAATTGAAGCTGCAAAATGCGCTCCTACATCTGGCAAAGTTAGACAAATTTTAGCCTACTAGTAAAATGTTTTCCTTTCTTCTTTTCATCTTTTCAATAACGATGATGGCAATGGGGGTGAGTAACTTCCCTGAGGATGTGGTAGGAATTTCAGTGGCTTTGTATAATTGTCCTAAAATGCAACAAGGTTCCCCCTGTAGCTCAGGGCTCATGCCACTTGTTTAAACCTGTCTGTGTTTGCTTATAATCATAACAAACCTTCCTAGTAGCACTGGGGAAGACTTTACAGATCTGCACATCTTTCCTTTCCTAGCACAGGCTGTGTGGTGTTACTGGTCCATCTCCCATTTCATTATTTAAAACAGATGAAGTTTAAACTTCAGCAGCCATAGTGAGAACAAAAGGCTCTCTCTTCCCTCAAAATAATGCTACTGACATCAGTTTTATGAGATGATGTTTTCTGCTTAATATTTTTCAGGGAACCAGAAGCTCAGAAGCATGTCAGGGAAGCCCAGACTTACCTACCTAAATGGAAGGGGGCGAATGGAGCCTGTACGATGGTTGTTGGCAGCAGCTGGTGTGGAGGTTAGTTGACGCTTGGTACAATGTTCCAGACTGGTGTTTTCAACTGGCTTCAGTAAGGAACAATTTAACATGCACATGGAGGATAAATGGCTTCAGGAGGGTGGCTAAACTAATTTGGCCAGTGGCACTGCATGTTTGTAACTACCTTGTTTGGTGGTTAATATTTGGGATGCAATCTCAGTGGAGCTTGGAGTTTATTAGAGCTAGTATCAGTCCCCTAAAGTAATTAATCATAATGGGTCAAAATGGGGATTTATTTAAAGGCCCTTAAATAATCTGAGTTTTCCAGCTATACAAAACCACCTTAACTCAGTCTTACTTAGTTTGCAGATACAGTGTGTATAAGCAAGAGTGTTGTTGACTTACATGCCCTGGGGTAGAGTTAGAAATAGTTGATTTACTTTGTGTTTCACTTGGCACTGGCTGAAACCTGTCTTCCTCTTGTAGATGTCTGTACTCTACTCTCTTTCCACTCACACTTAGATTATTTAGGAATTAGTGCCCTGAGGTAGCCAGGCCCTTCTGCTCCTCCTCAGCTGTGAGGATGCATGGGGGATCTTCAGACATCTGCAGCCAAACACCACAGTTGAAGATCCAGCCCATTATCTTTTGCTCAGTTTGGTTATTCTGCGCATGATTATGTGCAGTCACTTACAAAAGAAAAATGTTCAAATACAGCAGTGTAACACTATCTTCTCTCCTTTTCCAGTTTGAAGAAAGTTTTTTGGAAACAAAAGAGCAATATGAAAAGTTAATCAAAGGTAAGAATCCCGATGCCTGAGGCTTAGGCCCTAAAAAAATTGCTCCAATTTAGCTAAATTTGTGGCTTAAAATTTGTTTCTTTAAACCAGTGCAAACTTCTGTGTGCACACCTAGAATACTGAAATGTTGAGTAACCTGTTCTTTCCGGTGCAAAACAACTCTTATAAGCAAAAAGCCATAGCTTCCATGACTGTGTTTATCATAGTACATTAAACAGGAGTAGCAAACATTCCTATTTAATGCAACTCAATTATATATGCTGTTGAACTGTTAGCATGGTTCCTGGTCCAGGGCAAAAAGCACTCCCCAAAGCAATTCCCAGGCATTATTTGGAAAGTTGTCTCAGGCAAGGGCCATTTCCAAGGAGTCATTTACATGTGACCACCATGCTCTACAGTCAGAGGGAGCTGAATGGATTGAATGTGGCCCGTCTGTGTCAGCTGGCCTGAGCTGCTGTTGACTAGTATAAAGGTACCTGTACATTGGTTCTGAACATTAGTGAGATAAGCCTCTAAATGAAAGGCTGGCATGGGACCAAAATCCTCAGGAAAGCCTTTGTGCAAGGCTCTGTGTGAACACACTAAAGCAGGATAAGCCTGAGCCATGAAGCTTCCCCCAGTTAAAAAGCAGGGAGCCAAGCAGGGAGCCAGCAGGGAGACCTGTGAAAAGTCTGGCATGATCAAAGCAGCAAGCTACAAAGGCTTTGGAATGAGACCAGTTCCCAGACATCAGTGCATACCCCCACCCACTGGCCTTGATATTTGGCAAAATGAAATCCAGCAGTGAACGCCTTTGCAGCCACCCTGCAAGGAGAGGACCTTGCTACCAGGGTGGAGAAGGAGTTGGGACTGTGAGGAGAAGTATAGAGTGCACTTGTCCCGTAGTTCACCTGCTGCCCAAGACATGTAAGAAAAACCTCACAGCAGACTGAGCTTTCTAAGACATCCTAGGAGACTTGGAAAAGGACTTGGCTGATTCTGGCTGCTGGCTCAGAAATGAAAAGCTGTGTTTAAAGAAATTCTGACAGGAAAACGGAAATGAACAAAAATTTTTTAAAAGTGGTATTAAGAAGATCAGAACTAAATTTGCAGGTCTAGCTGTCTGGGAATCTAACAAAATGGGAGTGCAGTGTTGTGTAAAGACACCAGTTATAGCTCTAAATATAATATGATAGCTCAGGTACCGAAAGCCCAAATTGGAATTTGCTTCATAGGACTAAGTAAACCAGACAGAGTGGTACAGTCCTGGATATAGTGTCCAAGCTTATCCATATCCAGAGAAAAGCATTAAATGGTGATGAAAAGGGCAGTGAAGTTTTGTAAAGAAGATCAAGGTCTTTTTTTATATATATATATATATATATATACACACACACACACACACTCACACACATATAGCTTCAGAGGGTGACAACACAAAGATCCTCACTGTAAAGTGAGGAGAAGCAGTCTGCTACTGGTCATGAGAGAAATCCCTCTTTTCTGTAGATAAGAAGCAAAGCATGGAGTCAGTTTACTCACATTTGCTGCATCACTTTTTGTCAAGGGCCAGAAAATCACATTCTATTTTTCACTTCACATCTTTCTGCTGAAAAATATCCTTGCAGAGCTGTTAGTTTTCCCATTCTACTGTGAGATAACAAATAATATTTCTTCCTTAAATTGCCGAGGGGTGTCCTGAAAAGACATGAAGACACATGATCTTTCTGTGAATGTTTACAAGAAATAAACACAGGCTATTCCTTGCTGAAGAGAGAACTACTCTTTGAATTTAAACTGAATACTATAGAATAAGTCAAGAATGTTTATTAATTCTAGACTAGCAATGTATTTCAATAGCTCTGTGGAGAAAAAAGCAAACATGTTCCTGTTAAAATGAACCCTTATACCTGAAAGAAGAATGCAGTGAACAGATTAAACTTTAGCAATTAAAATAAATTATTAACTTTGAGCAATGCAAAGTGGCAGCTGCCTAGTTGGATTTTGGAGTTTTGCTGTGATTTTAACAGGGCAGGATTGTTCTCTGGATGCCCTTAATATTATGTAATTGGAGGAGGGAGTATTTCCAAAGACAATAAACTAGTCCAGCAGAAAACTGGTCTAGAAAAGATTGATTTTGCTGTGCTGAATCTCTATGTCAGCTTAGCTCTCAGAGCTGCCTTATTCAAGGCTCAGACAAATGCTTCTACCAGAACCAGGAGAAAATGGATCTACAAAGATGTATCTAAATAGGCTTAAATTGTTGTGGAATGACAGTGAGGATAGGCCTGTAATGAAAATCTATGGCGACTGTCAAACTCTTGTCCCTGGAATGACTGTGTAAAACTTAAACAGCAATTGCTGTCACAGTCCTTGCCTCTAACTCTGAAGTTTCATGACCTTTAAAGTGGCCTGATCTCTTCCTTTATTCCAATAGCTCACTCCTGCTGCCGTACTACCCCTCTCATTCTTTCTACTCGTGTATATGTCCCTGATAAGGAACTGATCTGCACTCAAAATAATTTGATTTTTTTTTTTAAGTTCAAATTTAACACAGAACTTTATTCTCCCCCGATCCCTTGGGTAGAAAGTGCTGGTTAGGCTTTTCCTCCCAGCATGAGTCAAGGTCCCGAAGTGCAAAGAAGCAGGCTGTGCCAGCTCCCATCAGCCAGTGAAGATTTGGCAATGCTGCAAAGCAAGGGCCCAGCTGCACTGTGATGACCTCGCTACAGAAGTGTGATGCAGGCTGGTCAATATTTGATCTTTCCCACAATGTTAGTTTTCTGCATGGAGCTTTACAGTTAGGGCAAGACATCAATAATCTCCTACACTGCAAAAGAAATGTGTTCAGTCTCTTGGTCTCCTGTAAAGCTAGCAGCCTAGGAGGAACTGACAAGATTTCCCTCAACTTTCCACCCTAGATGGAGTCCTGATGTTCCAGCAAGTGCCCCTGGTTGAGATCGATGGGATGAAGATGGTGCAGACCAGAGCCATCCTCAGCTACATAGCAGGGAAATACAATCTCTATGGGAAAGACTTGAAGGAGAGAGCCCTGTACTGTAACACCTCCTTTCACTTAATGAGCAATCTGTTATTTGATAGCTGCATTATCTATAATAAATTTAATCCTGTAAATCCAGTAGAAAGGTTAACACAAAAAAAGCGCTTTTTCTTAGTTTTTAACCATTGCTTCTGAAATGCTACTGAACAGAAACTGGCTTTTACTCCTTTTAAAAAATATTTAGCTTTAGTTTCAGCTGTAAAAATTGGCACTACGGTGGTGTGGTAACATAAAATTCTTTTAAGTTGCCTTAGTTAATTGGAAAACAGATGAAATATCTTCTGTTCTCTTTTCTACTGTCTTCCCCTCACCAACAGGATTGACATGTACGTGGAAGGAATAACAGATCTGATGGAAATGATTTTGATGTTCCCTTTCTCTCCACCTGAGGCAAAGGAGAAAAATCTTGACTCAATTAAGGACAGAGCAATTAATAGGTACTTCCCAGTCTTTGAAAAGGTAAGTTGCAGTGAAGATGTGTCTATAAGACTTGTATTACAATTATCAAGAAGTTTCCCCAAAATGAGAACATGTTTGTAGTGCAGGTCAGTTCCAAATCCTCAGCTTTCTTGGCTCTCTCAGAGTAGGGGAAATACAGCAGTATTTTCTGTTTGTTGGCTCATGTTGTCAGAGCTGTGGTATCTGTACATCTACAAATCAATATGTTCTCAGCTATACAGCAAAACTTTTCACTAAAGTAAAAGCAAGCATGTATGATTTCTTCCTCCCTTGAGGGGACAGTTCCACACTTAAATTTGTTTAGAGCACATCTCTGTTATACTCAATTTCAGTTGGAACATTTTCATTAGAAGAATGCAAAAATCTCTTACAAATAAATCAGAGAGATCAGGAGTACTTGAGAAAAAAACGGTCATAGATTTCTGCAAATCACACTTGTGAAAACAACAAACCAAACCCATATGACTCAGGCGTCTGACAACATTTCTCACTTTTGTAACATCTAGTTTAGATGGAAAATGGTAATAAAGGCTAAACATCCTAGAAGTTCTTATGACTATAATAACCTATTCCCAAAGCAGGGATTTTCTTTGGTTAGCTATTGTAATTCTGCATTTCTAAGTTTGCTTCCTGGTATCAACATTGGACATAACTTAAAATGAAATACTTAAATGACAATTTAATAAATTCTCTGAGTTACTATTTAGTTCCTCCATTATTCCTACTGTTACTAGTCTACTTAAGAGCATGGTTTTGTTCCTGTTCCTACTGCCTATCCTCATTCATCGTTATGAAGTGACCAGTTTGTAGTCTGTGTACTACAAGAGTTCAGATTTTTTCCCAACAATAATGAAGTTATTTAGGCTCACAGCTTCCAGCTGAAAACTCCACCCTGAAATTTCAGATATATAATAGCTGTTTGGCTCTACAGCTGTGCTGTGAGGCTTAGCTGCCAGGCATTGTATGTCCCATTCTCATCAGCAGTCCACCTTCTCTTGTATTCTACAGGTTTTGAAACAACATGGCCAAGACTTTCTTGTTGGCAACAAATTCAGCTGGGCAGATGTTCAGCTAATTGAAGCTATTTTAGCAGTGGAGGAGAAAATACCTGCTGTGCTGTCCGGGTTTCCTCAGTTACAGGTAATTTTGTTATTGAGCATGCTTGTATTCAGGAGCTAGAGGGCAACCCCGAGGTGATCATCTCTCCATGCTATGTAAATCAGGTGTGGGCTCTTGAGGAACTGTCACTTTCTTATGTTTGCTTAACACCAAGCACAAGAGGGAATTGATTTAGTTGGTTTGTTGTAAGACACTGTGCTTCTGATTAATCATTTTCAGGTATGCCTATCCCTCTTAGAGTGGTATATGCCTCCTAAATAGAAATAAATTAATGTCCCAGGGAAATCACTCATATAGGATGCCCTGTTTTCATTTCCCTGCTTCCTGTCAGTAGATGCTATCTAATACCAGCTAACAAATTAAGTCTGAGATACAGTTTGACACGTTAGAATAAGGTTATGTGCCATTTTCTGTAATGGATGGTATTACGATTTTAGGACCCAGTAACCTCACTTCACTTCTGCCTTCTACCATATGACTAGAAACTGAAGTCTTAGCATTAAGCCACAGGTTTCTTTCAATAATCAACTCAATACAAACGAGGATGAATTCTCTGCCTTCGTGCCATATACAAAATCTGAAACCAAGCAGAAGTGAGGCACTTTGTGCTGTGAGACTTGACCAGAAATCAGAAGCCTCCAGGCATGCAGCATGCTATAGAGCACAGTGCATGTGCAAGCCTGGGGCATGACCTGCAGGAGTCATTAAGAGTTGAGATACAGTGGACCCAAGTGGGAAGAAAGTAGATAGTGTTCAGTAGTTCTCCCACGTGCCTGTACTCATGGTGATAAAGCAGTGTAGGCACTGCAAGTTTGGGTTGATGATGCAAGGCTTGAGGTCGTGCTTCTTTGTCCTTACAAACTGTTGAGAGGTGCATCAAAGACTTGGGCTTTATTGCCACTAACAAAAGAAACAGTTCAGCATTTGATTATCACAGTTAAGTTTCTCCCTGAAACTGATGAGAAAAAGGGCTTTGATTTTTTTTTTTTTAATTACTATTTTTAATTTTTAAATCTCAACCCCACAGTTTAAGCCTGAATTTAGTATGACAGAATGATGCACTTGGGTCACAAAGTGGGCAGTAACTTTTGTCAGATTTTATTCCATATGCAGTTTTGCAGCTTCAGGTGATTCTTGCCTCTAGTTTCCATCTTCTAGCAAGATATATTAGCCACCAGGTGTGGGCACAGTACTGTTGAAGCCATGCATTTATGTAGGGATTCCTTCAGTGATAGAAGGGGAAAAGTTTCTAAAATTGCTGGTTACTTATTTCAGAGTTTTTACTTTTCTTGCTCCTTCTTGTACTTCCCCCTTATTCTTCCAGTGCCTGTAAGGAAGAAGAAATCATGTTCATACATCTGCCAGCAAAAACTGGCTGTCACTCTGTGAAGGTCCTCTCTCTTAGCCCCATTGTTAGAAGGTTCTTGTGTATCTAATAAGATTGCTCATCTAACTGTGGGGTCTCCAGATGCCTGCAATCTGCATCAGTGAGTCCCCTCTGACTGTACAATGAGATGTCTCAGGATCCTTGACTCAGTTGCCTTAACACAGGCATCTCTTGCCACCTAGATGCCCAACTCTTCCCTAATCCTAGTCCTGGCCGCCAGCGACTGCTCCTGAGGGGAACAGGTCTCCCTGAGGGGCTGTGTTTTTGGCTACCCTAGGCTCCAACACAGTATGAGAAGCCTCTACTGGACAACTGAGTTGACCCAAGGACAATTCCAGCCATTTCACTTTTACCCATGCAGTCCCAGAAATGCTGGGACAGTGGGACAACAGTGGCCACGCCAGATGCAAACAGAGCTTAGATACTTACATAATGTAGTAAAAATGGAAATCATGTTAATCTAAATCGTGGTCTGCACACATGGTAGTTTGCACTATCAGAACCAGCAATTAAAAGATCATGAGCTGGGTTAGTGTATTTGTACCTTCAAAACTATCCCCTGGTGCTCCTGTATATTGAATTTTTGCCTTCAGTTTCTTTCAAGTAGCAGAGATTTAAATATTGTCTGCTCCAGTACTGTCTTCATTGGTAAGAACAGGCTTTTTGCTGCAGCTGGATCCTCCTCCTGCTGGACACAAGGAGACTGAGTAGATGGCATGAGATCTGAATGAATGTTAGGATTTCTTCTAGCAGCAGGGGGAAGCAGTTGTTCTGTGCAAGGAGCACTGTTTGCTACTGGAGTAGCTGGAATTTCTCACTTAAAATGTTGGTTTTATATTTTAGGCTTTTAAAATAAAAATGAGCAATATGCCTACAATTAAGAAGTTCCTGCAGCCTGGCAGCCGAAGGAAACCCCCACCAGATGAACGTTATGTAGAAACTGTGTTGAAGATTTTTAAGAAATGAATGCCTTGTTACCATCAGTGAGACACAAATTACTGAAAAGTAACCAACAAAAAAAACCCCAAACCCCAAACCAAAGGAAATAGAGAGGTCAGTAAATTAGTACTGTTGTAGCTAAAGCCAATGTTAAAAAAACCCTCCAAAACTGAAATAAAGCATTCTGATTACTCTGGCAATGTGACAGCAGATTTGTCTTTATTGATATCAAATATTTGATAAAACATGAAAACAAAAGAGTGTAGAAGCAAAGAACTATTTGTAGGGTAAGGAATTTGTTAATTTGGAAAAAAGACCGATGCAGTGTTAGTATCATCAGAATGTAACTTCTTGAAGAGATGGATGAAAATAGACTTCAGAATAAGAGCTATGGAAGAGAAGAAAGAGAAGAAGACTCACTGAATCACTTATCCTTTAAAGTAGACTTGTTTTAAAACCAGTTTTGGTAAGTACTTATATTACATTAGTTTTAAAGTATTGTGTGAGTAAACCTTCTAATTTAGTATGTTTCCTTGGTTGTTACCAAAGCCAAATCTCTTTGGTTTCTCACACTCCCCAGGTCTTGCCTAGGAACCAGCTCTTATAATGTTCCATTATTTTCTTCTTCTACATTTTTGGATGTGATTCTTCCAAGCACCTTAGTTTGTTGTTCCCAATACATGGGAGTCTGTGCACCTCTTCATATGATGAACCCATAAAATGGGGAGGGCAGAGCCACATCCTCAGACAAAATGATCACTCAGTTCAATGTTTGTTCATCCTTCTTTCTGTGCATTCATCTGCCAGTTTGAGGGACCCTCAGCTGCTTTCTAGCACCAGTTCCAGACACCAACAGCCAGTTACATCTTTGTCCTTGTAAAATAAGAAGCACCAGGCCCCATTCCCTGGCTCTGAGGCCACACACACACTGTTAAACTCTCTTATTAGCCAAAGCTGTGTAACCACATCCAAATGGCCTGTTGTGGCTGAGCCCTGGCGTGGACTGTCTGTGGCTGGGAGCCATCTGGGCAAGAGCAGCAGGCACAGACCAGTAACCCCTGAGCGAGCCGTTGTTAATTCAGTAACACAGACGGCATCTTCCGGCACTCACACCCTGGCACTGCCTCATGGTTGATGTGGTCTTCGGAGAGCTCAGAGGGAAAAACCTGAGCCTGAGCTGCTACTTGGCAGAGAGTGAAACGTGAGCAGCCTTGGGGTGCTGCTGCTGGGGCAGCACTGTGGAGCACCACCAGCCCTTGAGACAATGCAGTGGGACCAGTGACCCTGAGGTGGCCACAGCCCCTCCCAGTGAGGCCTGTTTGCGATGGTGGAGGCGATCCACAGAGTGGCGATGGGGAAGGGAGGGAGGAGTGGGGGCACAGAGCAGCACAGGCTTCATGACTGGGACACCTCAGGTGCTTTAAAGGTGTAATAAAGTTCTCTGAATTTCTTTAATCACCTTGTGCAGGTAAGTTCACTCATAATTTAGTGAGTCATGCTCATTATCTCTATCCTAAGAAACTATTTAAGGTTTCTCAACAGTGACTTTTGTCTAATGTGACCAATGAAGAATATGCCATTCCCCCATTTCTCTCCTATGCAGCAGACTATAAAAGGACAATAAATTATTTATTTTTGTTAGGTTGCAACTTGAAGTGGGATTTTTAACTAAATATGCTAAATGAGAGTAAATCTTCTGAAAATAAGGGTGCTGGAAAAATGCTAGCATACCCTATTTGCAGCTTAACCCTGTGAGAGGTACAAAAACCTGTTAAAAACAATTGCATTTCCCACTGCTATAGGACGCACATTGGCTTAAACTGTAAGGGCAGAGAGCACTAGCAGTTTAACAAGCATACAGGAGGAACAGCTAGCAGAGTTAAGTGGCTGGCATCTCTTACTCTAGGATAGCGCAGACCTGCAGGTCAGATGTTGAAATGGTGAGTGCACCTTCGCATTAGGCCATAAGTGACCTTAGAGTGGAGTCATTTTGGTTTGTATCAGGTTATTGCTTGAGTGGGCTTGGAGGGATACTTGCAGAGGAAGTTAATTCCTTAACCCTGGTTTCAGAGAGGAGTCGTCTGAAATCATTACTAGTAGTGATCTAAGAAACCCTTGAATTTCTGTAAATTTTAGGATCCTTTCTGTGCTGGCTGATAGAAAGCTGAGAAAAGAAGAGGAAAGATGTTGAAGAGAAGGTTTTCAAGTGTGAAATGCTCTGAAAGTCCTGATATTGCCTGCCTGTCAATGGCATACCACTTTCTATTTTTACACACTGACTGTTTCCATGGGCAGAGAATCACATCCAGAAAGGAGAATGGTGCAGGGGCTGGAAGCATGGAGGAGAAAATAGGGAATAATCGCAGGTGAGACAATTTGGAATTTGCCAAGGAGACACAAACTAAAATTACAAACTAAGCACGAGAGAGAAAGGAAGCCAATTAGAGGGAACCAGAAGGAAATTTGAAAGCTTAACATGCTATTATGTGTAGAGATAGTTCTAAAAGCAGTGATGAGCAGTAACACCCCACTCACAGCCTTCTCTTTATCTGTCTCATATGGAGATGTCAGGAGCTGCTGATGTTAGCCAAAAAAAGATGACCACTAATTTTCACAGTGTTGTTTTGGTTTTTCTTCAGCAAGGTCTTGCATATGTTATTCAAACCATCATGTAAAGAACCTCTGGCAAAAACACATCATGGTAAAAAAAAAAAAAATCAAGCTCAGTAGACCTAAGAACACCTGCCAGCTTCTAGGTAACCCACTTGCTCTTCAAAATGTTTGGGGAAACACCTAACGCCCTTCACATACCTGAAGCTAAGTCAGCATGAGGATCATTGGAGAAAAGGACATTTTTTTTTTTTCTTTTAATTTCTCTGTTCTCTCTGCAAGGCTATCTTCTGTAAACATATATCTGGGTTTATAAGACAATTACATTGCGCACTTATGCTGCTGGGTTCAGGGCATAATTCAGCATGGAGAAATGCTTCATGGGACATAATGTGTGAGCTGCACTTTTCAAGTGTGCTGAACACAGGCAGTGCTGGTTTGGAAGGACAACAACAAATGGAACCTTTGTTTTAAATAGTATGAAACAAGGGAGCTGCACTTTATTTCTGCAATGAGGCAGGCCTGAATATATCCCAACAGGTCTCATTAGCCACAGATGAGGCTCCTTTCTCTAGAGTCCCTATAAACCCTGTTAATACTACAAGGCACAACAGTTTGTGCATAATCTATTTCCCTTGTAAGTACATTTTAAATATTGGCTCATAACATTGAACACAGCTTTAACCCAAATTAACATAAATCTGATGTTTTAGAGAGAGAGGAAAGTTCACAAACTCAGTGACAGAAAACATTTTCCAATGCTTTGTCAAGAAATTAGTATCATATCTGAAAAAAAAAAAAAAATTATACCTTTTATTTTAAAGTCAGACTGTAAATGGAAACAAGCTGGTGGGCAACAGCAGCAGCTGGGATAAATACTGAATCCTAAGTTATTAGGGTATCTTTGACATTTCCCCTTTCTTTATCTCCTGGATGGTCAATCTGAACCAGAACATTATTAAAAGATCGGATGCCTTCATGCATGCAAGGTATAAATGACACTTCTGTAGCATTTTCCAAATACTTTACAAGCTCAGTGAAGTGACATTTCCAATAGTCCTGTTAGGAGACAGACTGTACAGTATTTTTCACTTTTATTTAAGCTAGTAACTATGTGAGGACTTGCCTGAAATCTTCATGGATACCTCTGATAGGGTAAGAAATGTCAGTGTTGGCATAAATCACCCTCTGAAAAATTCTACTCCTCTCCTCTACCCCTAAGGGAAGCTTGAAGGGTCTGGCTTTACCTAAACTTTGAACTACCTCAGTTGAGACAGCATCCTTTCCAGTAATTTGGATATCAGCTGTAGCTCAAGGGCATGGTAAGGGATTCCTCCTGAATTTAGACCTACTTAAAGGAGACTAAACAGACAGACTAGATGCAGGTGTCTACAAAGTTCGTTGAGGTGAGTTCTCCCAAGTTGTCTGCACTATGATTAACCTTCATGCTTGAACTAGTATTTTCTTACCTTACAGTTCTCTGATATGGCAGATGTCAAGTCCTTGTAGGAGTAGCCACTAGACCTGGGATATCTCCTAGAGCTTATCATGGCCAGGCCTACAAATGATTAATCCACCCAAGCTACCTAAGAGTGAGTTTGGATTTGTGAAACACCACTAGATGCACCTCGGTGCACAATATGCAGGGAAAGCTTCATTCTCCCACACTGTCCCAGATTCAGGGTCATAAGTCATGTCTGTCCAACCATGCCAGAAACACTGTTTCCATCTTTTACTCTTAAAAACCCCTGTGCTAACAGCAAAAGTCAGCACTCCCAGAAGCCTAGAGGGGAAAGCAGTCACCTCTCAAGCAAGCAAATAAAACAGTCTTATGAAGAGTCTGTTATATTATAAAATATGAACAAATTACTTCAGACTGGATGTTAACACAAAGCAAAATGTAGGCAGCTTGTGCTTCTGCAGCGATACTAAGAGTGGGCTTCTGCTGCACTTAGCACAGATGGCTGGATAAATGTCTCCACGACACCTCTGCAGGGCCGGCCATCATGCCATGGCATATGCCACAGAGCCTGGCTCTCTGGAGCAGCAGCTGGAGGCCAGTGGACGCCCTGGAACATGCACAGTGGTGTGTACACCACTGCACAGGTGACTGAGCCCTGCTGCAGGTTTTGGAGGCTGGAGAGAACGTCCCAAAATGTAAGAAGGGGACAGAGGGAAAAAAGAAAGAAAAGAGCCCAAAACAGAAGGCAGAGGCTACAGATGTGCTGTTAGTGAGGAGTCCCCCTTCTGTGAAGCCTGACTCTCCTCACATGCTGTATAGGGTACAGAGTGCTCCATTTGCGGACTAGGCACCTTCTAAAAGACAAGACTTTGCAGTGATGACCGTTTTGATGCTTTCTTCTCCTGTGGTTTTACCTCTAATAAATAATTTTATTGTCAAGCATGGAACACATTGGTCTAACAGGCACCAACAGTGGAGACTGATGGGATGAGGATCATTTTAAGTCACATAGCAGCGAAGTACATCTATAGGAAGGACCTGAAGGAGAAAGTCCCTGTACTGTAACAACTCTTTTTTTTTGTTTGATAGACAATTCATACAACCTCCTTGTGTAATACTAAAAGACTATCTCAGTTCACAGTTATGTTCAGGATGATTCAGCAGATTTTTATATAGCACATTGACCTTGCCTGCAGATGATGTCTACAACAGTATTAACCAGTTAGATCAGACAGGCAGAATGGTGCATGGGAGTTTATGCTGTATTGGCTCTTGGAAGTCAACAGAGTTATCAGAAGAAAGCAGTCAGAAGTGCAGAGGGCAATTTGTCTTCTGATGTCGTTCTTCATTCACTGTGTCCTACACTTGTCTTTGGCATGCATTCTCACCAGGTCAAATTCGGGGAAACATTTTTGACAGAAACAGAAAAAAACCTTCTACATCCAAGATTGAAATTGAGCAGAAAAAGTGTCCTGAAGGATTATCCCCCATTGCTAAGCCAGGGAAGGAATCTTATGAAGGATTCAAGCTCAATTAGTTGATGTGACTTATGCAAAGTGTCAATCTGTTAGAAGTAAATAACCATAAAATATTAAAACAAAATTTTGATTGCTATCACAGTATTTTTTTAAATCATGGGAGCTTTTCAGCTGTTCTGATTGTTTTCAACTAGCAGATTGCCAAACAATGAAAACAGGAAGCATATAGTTTTATGCTGGCACAGATGTTCCCTATGATCATGACCTCACATAAATCTTACATTTGTACATAGTAAGCATTAGTCAGAAATCTATTTTCTGTAGGTGAGAAGTGACTAAACAGAACTAATTGGTTTTATTGGTTTAAGAAATAGGAGTTACCCATCAGCCGAGAACTGTTTGCAATTCTCTTTGTAGGAGGGGCTACAGACCTATATAATGTCAAGGCAAAGCTACTGAGAGTTTAGAGTGAATTATACTGTGTACAAGGTAAGCTTTTGGGATTTTGGACATTCATAGGGAATTAGAAACTTGAAACTAAGTTAGTGAATGGGTTTTGTGGATTAAATACTTGTATGTACTTTCTTTCCTAACAGGATTATGTGCATCAAATGTTAAATAATTAATCAATTGCTTTCTAGGTGTACAGATTTAAGAAAAAGAAATGTAGCTCCCAGAAGTGTGGAGTGCCTACTCTCACCCCTGTCTTCCTATTGCAGAGAAGATGACATGTTATTTACAAGGGGAATGTGGGGTTTTTTTAGCCATTTTCTTTTTGCTGCTGTTAATGCTTCGTCTTTATTGTTGACATGATGTTAAAAACTGAAGCTAGTATAAACTAGGCACTGTCTAAACGTTTGCTGCTGATGTGCACATGCTAGTTCCGAATGGGGTGGATGACAGTTTGTCTAGAAACTGTTGTTGCTTTTAATTCCAGAAGAGTCGGAATTGGACCGAGCAGTTATTGCACTTTGGCTCTCCCTGTGGTAAAGGCAAATCTGTTACTAGAGACAAAATTAAATTCCGTGTCTTCCAGTGCTTGCCTAAAGAAATGAGAGGATCAGGGAGTGTTGTAAATGAGATTGAATGATTACAATGGGGGAAAGAAAACCTTCCTGGCACTTTACAAGGCAGCATAATGGCTGCTGGAGAAAGCAGAGTAATTGCTCAATCTATATTGTGTATCTGATTAAACAGTAAACTGTACTCTGAGATAAATGCCAAAATAAACAGAGCACTGTATCTATCTCACACACCCTGCTTTTTGGTCAGAGCAGAACACTTTGGGATGCAAATGGATTTTGATTTTCTTGTTCTTTGACATGGGCCAATTGCTCTCAGTACACAGAGTTTTTCTTAACTAACTTGCACATATAAAAGACATCTTAAGGAAGAATGATACAATGCAGCCTCTCAATATAGTCTTTTACCTCCTTTACTAATCTGATGAGTCTTGGACCATAAATCATTGGTTTCTAACAACACAACTTTGAACAATGCTTGAGAACCAGTTATTGACTTAAAACCAGCATTCAGAATCTTTATTTTGAAAAACTTCTTTATTCCAGACAGTAGGAAATTAGGCACGTGAAAACATGTCTGGGAAGCCCAAGCTGCACTACTTCAATGGACGAGGCCGAATGGAATCAATACGGTGGCTACTAGCAGCAGCTGGGGTTGAGGTTTGCCTTTGTTTTTTATACTAAGAGCACATGACAAATATGTATTCTTACTGTTCCTTATAAAAACTGTGACTGACCAGCAGTTTCAAGCTCTGCATTTAGTGCACTGCTGACCAAGCTAACCATGACCACTAGTTTACCCTAAGCAGAGGGGCAAGTTCCCGTTTCACTTCCAAGCATCATGTGCCAAGCCTACTTGTAGCACCACAAATGCCTCTTCCCTGTAACCAGTGAAAGAAAACATTTAAAACCATAGCAGCAGAACCTGGCTTTTTATCTTCTGATCACAGGAGTTGAGCACTTTCAATTTGGAAGGCCTTCAGTTAAATCCCAGTGTCCAAAATAGTGAAAAATTGCTAGGCCTACTACACTCTAGCTTACCTCTGAAGGTACTGTATAAAACACAGAGTAATTGGTTTTACCTCTAAGGGGTTTTGATATTAAAGTGGAGAGGCAGTGTGGGGACCTGTGTGTTTTAAGAGCTGTGAGTTTTTGTCATGGTAACGGTCAATGTACCAGAAAGCTGCAGGGGGCACATGATCTCTTTGTCCTTCCTTTTGCCAGCTTGTGGCAGAGGAGCTGTACCACAGTCCTGCTGCTGCAGTGTTAATTTACCTATCCTCCTCTCTCCCCGCACCAACTCTTGTCAGCACTGACAACAGAAGCGGCATGGTCATCGTTTGCTCAGCAGACAGGGTTTTGTGCCTTTCAGTCAGTTCAGCTTTAGCCAAAATCTCACCTTCACAAAATATGAATCACATGTGAGAGGGAAGAGAGGATGACAGAGGCAAAATAAATTTTTAAAGATATCACTTCCAAATCTGATTTATTTTTTAAAAACCAAATTCCCCCAAACAAATTTATTTGTGCTCTCATTGTCTCATGCAAAAAGAAGCTAAAACATGCAGTGACAACACAACTTTTCTTATGTATTTCCTGCAGTTTGAAGAATGTTTTCTGGAAACAAAGGATGATCTGACAAAGTTACAGAAGGGTGAGTTTCCTTCACTTTTTAATAATTAGATAATAATAATAACTATTAGAATTGTTTGTCTTAGAACACCTAAGAAGTCTTATGTCTCTTAAAAAGAAAATCTAGACTGGACTGTACCACAGATGCACACTGCAGTGTGTTAGATGGTATCATCCACGCAGTTGCTTCAGCCTTCACTGAATCACAGAAGGGCTGAGGTCAGAAGGGACCTCTCGAGATCATCTGCTCCACCTCCCCTCTTCAAGCAAGGCCAGCCAGTTACCCAGGAAAATGTTCAATTGGGTTTTGAGTATCTCCAAGGATGGATACTCCACAGCCTCTCTGGGCAACCCATGCCAGTGTTCAGTCACTCTCACAAGTAAAAAAAACCTTTCCTTAAGTTCAGATGATTGACTTTCCTTTGTTTCAGTTTGTGCCCATTGCCTCCTGTCCTATGACAACACAGGTTTTTTCCATCAGATCATCTTGAAATTCTTCAGCATGTTAGGTTGCCTACAAAGTTGTTGCTTTATAATTTGTATGAAACCAGAGTTCCAGATTTCTGAGTCTAACCTGTATCTCTGATGTGTTCCTGTTTCCAAAGGTAACTACTCACCTTGCTATTGTTATCTTCCATCACTGTGAACATGATATTCATGTTTCCTTTAAACCAAATTACATGTCTGTGCTCTTCCAGTTCACTTGGCTTTTCAAAGAAGTCTGAGCTAGGGTTGGCATTTGTAGTCTTGCTCTCCTTTAGGAACAATGGGTTGATCCCCCTGCCATCTGCTGGCTTTCAAGAAGTATTTTGAGACACGAGCATAAATGAAAATGTGCCCTTAATAGCAGTTTCTCTGCATAATTGCCTTACAGTGGATACAAAGACAGACAAACCTGATCAGTTATTTGAGTCAAGAAATATGATTCCATAAAGCAAATATTCTGACTCCCTTCTCTGCTCAGTTCCTGGAGGTATTTTAACTTCTTCCTTGTTAGAATAAGGCTTCTGCAGACTAGTAAGGGATTTACTTGGTGTCACACCAAGTGATATTTGGCTCTTGCACGAATTTCATGAAACCCACCCTTTATTCCCTGCTTCATGCCCATACAGATGTATGCTATTTTATAAAGTCAATATAGTAGTCACAAAGACACAATATGCATTTAAATACACATTATATGTTGACAAGCCCTTAAATAGTCCAGATTTCCATAATACTTACCCAAAGCATGACAGAAACTGGCTGAGTTGGATCCTTCAGTCTTCTCATCTGTATTAACCTCCATGAAAATCACCTGAGTCTGGGCCATGAAGCACAGGACTTGTCTTTTTCAGTGTATGACTGTTAGAAGTTCTGCATTTGGGTGCTTCCTCAAATTTGAAGAAACTTCAGAAAGCTGATTGCTATAATAGTAAGTTATTAACATGTCACTAAGAAATGGTTCTTGGTTTCATGGTAAGTGTTTTTCATACCTTGCTGTGAGAGTGAGGAAGACTGCCACTGAAAGGGCTGTCAAGCACTGGAAGAGGCTGCCCAGGGAAGTGACTGAGTCACCATCCTTGGAGGTATTTAAAAGACTCATAGAAGTGGCACTTAGGAACATGGTTTAGTGGTGGATGTGGCAGTGTTTGGTTTATGATTGGACTCAATGATCTTAAGGGTATTTTCCAACCTAAATGAGTCTATGATTCTAAATAAAAAATAATACATGTGGTTACTTTGCCGAACACCCACTAATGGTTCTCGTTCAGAGACTGAATGTCTCCTTGTCTTGTCCTTTTTTCTCTAGATGGTTCCCTGCTGTTTCAGCAAGTGCCAATGGTGGAGATCGATGGAATGAAGATGGTGCAGACCAGAGCCATTGGCAACTACATAGCAATGAAGTACAACCTCTATGGGAAGGACCTGAAGGAGAGAGCCCTGTACTGTAACAGCAACACCTTTATTTGTTAGACTACAGTTCACACTACCTCTCTGTATAACACAATATCCCAGCTCACAGTTAGATTCAGGGTGATATAGCAGCTTTTCATGTAGCACATATTGATGGTGACTGTGGGTCATGTCTACAACAGTAATAAACAGATAGATTTGACAGGCAGCATGGTGCAAGGGAGGCTATAAGGATCAAAGGTCAATACAGTAATCAGAGGGAAGCAGGCAGGAGTGCAGAGGGCAGACTGTCTTACTGAAGTTTCTTTTCACTTTCTCCTGCAGCTGTCAACAGCAGCTGTTTTCACCATGTCTAATTCAGCAAAATATCTTTGATGGAAACAAAAATCTTCTTTCTCTAATAACCAGGAATTATAATCAATAACTGGTTACCAAAAGCAGAGTTCTTAGGGCACATGGTTTGACCTGAGTATTTTAAAATACTTTGAGTTAATTAGCATTGGTAAACACATATCAAGATACTTGTTAGTAATTGTATAGACCCACTGTTTAACTTACCATCTCTGATTGGATTTTTAACACAAGTTTGCATGACAAAGTTGTACTCAGGTTCAAAAAAACTTAAGACAGAGAAGTATCACCCCTGGTGAAAAATGGTAGGGGGGCAGTCTTTTAGTTTTTGGTTAGGCACTTTGCACTTGTCTTTCACCCACACTCCCCTTCTCCCTGCCCCTCTACCTTAGCTACTGCACTGCAGGGGGAACTGCTCCAAGCTGGGTAGAAGGGGAGGAGTGTTCCCAAAATCTCAGTGGGGTTACATCAGTAGCTACCATGCTAATCAGACCTACTGTGTTCGACTTGATCAACTGAATCTATTCCTTTCAGAATTGATATGTATGTGGAAGCAGTAATAGATCTGAATGAGTTACTCATGACCCATACCTTCCAACCAGCCGATAAAAAGCAGCAACACCTTGCTACTATTGTGGACAAGGCCACAAACAGATACTTCCCAGTCTATGAGAAGGTACGTGGCAAAGACATAGTAGTTTAATTATTATTGTTTCCCTGAAACTCCATCCTCGAACACAAATGATTTTTATTAAGGAAAACAGGAGAAAAATTATTACCTAAATATAAATACTATGGTTTTGGTGAGGCTTGGATGAGGATAGAAACAGGACACTACAGAGGGAACAGAAAGCACAAATCTGAGAGAGATGCAGAGCTGCAAAAAACCCAAATACACTGAGCTCCTCAAATGCCCATGTTTGAATCTGTGTGTAGTTTCAGACAAAAGATACTATAGCATCGGCTTTTACATAAAGTGTCCTCCTGAACTGCAGAGCCCCCTCTACCATAGACACTATGTAAAAGTATTACAGCTCCCTCTGTAACAAAAGGGAGGATGGATTAGCTGGGTGTCAAGACACAGGTATTTTGAGGCACAGGTGACATGTGAAGAGCTCCCAATGCAATATTCCCCAAATTGAAGAGGAAACAGGTGAGAAGTAAGGGAGCTGTCCATAATTTGAAGGAGTCCAAGATACTCATACCCTGGCCTGAACTAAAGCCTCTTGTAAATTTTATACAGGCATTTTCAGTAATGGTTGTATCCCATAAAGCTTAGCTTTCAACATAGCAGCGCTGATTACATGAGCTACAGAAGTGAAGGCAAGAGGGGTACAACTGAACTGCCAGAAAGAAATGCCGAAAATAAAGAACTGATAAATTATGTCTAGGATGACAGTGTGATCAGATCATTCTTTTTTACTACAGATATTCTTACTGCATCTCCTTCTTTCAAGGAGAACTCCATGCAGCATATGACCTTGTTTTGAAAGTATCAAGTCACACAGAGAAAAAAAAATAATAATCTCCGCTTCTGGTTCTCTGGTTTTAGGTTTTGAAAGACCATGGACAAGACTTTCTTGTTGGCAACCAGTTTAGCAGGGCAGATGTGCAACTACTTGAAACCCTTTTAATGGCAGAAGAGTGCAAGCCTGATATACTTGCTAAATTTCCTCTTTTGCAGGTAATTGAATGGACAGTTCTAATGGACAATGAATCAAAACAGGACCACTGATTTAAACTGGCTGAGAAATATGGGAGAGTGGGAGGGTGAGGAAAGAAGTACAAGACAAAACCAAATAAAATATTCCAAGCACTTTTAGCCAGCCTCAAATACTAGTGGCTATTGCTGCCTTCTGTCACTATAGCCACAAAAGCATAATAGGATGAAGCATATAGATTCTTCTACAGGATCAACCCATAGTGTTACTTTTAGAGCACGGATAACATCTAAATGTCTGACAGTTAGCATGATTCTTAAACACAGTGCTGTTTTGGTTTTATTTTGTAGAGTTTTAAAGCAAGAATAAGCAATATCCCCACAATAAAGAAATTCCTGCAGCCTGGCAGCCAGAGGAAACCACCACTACAAGAAAAAGATGTACCGAAAGTGATGAAAATTTTCTACTGAGGAGCAACCTAAAACCACAGCAACTCTGTTTTATTGTCTTTGTGTTTGCTGATAGTGGCAAAGTGAAATTAATGAAGTGAAAAGGTTTTGGATCTCTCTTTCCTTAATTACAGGAATGGTTTTAGTCTATGCAAACACTTACAGAGTAAATCTACATGAGCACACCAGCAAATGAAATAGTTCACTGAATTAGGGGGTACACTGGACAACATAGGATATCTTAAAATACTTAAAACAATACCTGAAATAAAGTCTTACTATTGATACTCAAAACCAGTTTGTTCAATGACTTCCTGCCACTACTTATATACCCAAGGGCTCTCTGGTTCTATCTTTCTGGCATTGTCAAGAGTGACTGGAAAATAAAGAGCTTAGCCTAAACAGCAGGTGACATATCTTTTCTGGGAAATGCCAGGAAAAGCCTGCAGGTTCTGCTTTGATGGGGATGACAGGTTTGGATTCAGCTTTCCTCTGAACTCGGAGTATGCTGGGACCAGAGGTCCTACTGCACTTCTGTTTTGTCATCAGACATTTAAACTCTTGTAGTGTAGCTTCATCAAAATATCCTTTAACAAAAGGTCTACTGTAGCAGCTAAAAGCACTTTGCAGACTCAACTGAGAAACAAATGCTTGTCGCCAGCTGTAAAGTGGAATACTTATTGTTTGAGGATGGAGGAGTCAGATCGGTGTCAGGTGCTAGTGAGACCCTGAAATGTAGGACTTCATGTTGATTTATGTCACTTTATATTAAAATCAGTTAAATATAAGTTGTACATTACAATCACTTAAATCAAGCTCTACAACTGAGAGGCTAGCAAGACAGTTGAACACATAACTATGTATATTATTTAAACACTAAATCAACCAAATATGTACATGCAAGCACCAGTGTCCTGAAACCAACTAATGCTCTAGTACTGGCAGTTTTAAGTGGGGCAAACTCAAGGCACTGAAACTCTTGCTAACACCTATAGTTTCTTTCTAAGAAATGCCATGTGACTGGAACCAGGTTTCAGCATCAAGAAAGGAAAAAAACCCAATATTTTTCTGCAGCAGAGCATGTATTAAAAGCTGTTTCCCTCCCAGCTCACTGAAGCATGTGGGCAGCACTTGCAGCTGCTGAGTGCTGTCAGAAATTAGAGTCAGAAAGCTTTGACCACAGCTGCCAACTCCCTGCCATGCAAGCTCCCCTACATAGCCAGGCAGCTTTAGAAGCCTGCGCACAGATGCTGGCCTTTGGCTATGCAGAGCCAGAGCCCCTGGCACACTGAGAGCTTGGCACCCCTCACAGGGGGACTGTGGCCCAGGCCTCCTCTCCTTGTCACATCATCACTGTGACCACATTGCTGCTTTGGGGGTCTCAAAGCCTTTCTCCTGCCCCCTCGTGCCCTGGCTGCCATGTCCCTCTGAGGTGCGGCCACAGCACCCTGCTGACCCCACAGAATCACAGATTCATCTAGGTTGGAGAAGATCTTTAAGATCATCTAGTCCAACCGTTAACCTAACACTGACAGTTCCCAACTACACCATATCCCTCAGTGCTATGTCAACCCAACTCTTAAACACCTCCAGGGATGGGGACTCCACCACCTCCCTGGGCAGCCCATTCCAATGCCCAACAACCCATTCTGTAAAGAAATGCTTCCTAATATCCAGTCTAAACCTTCTCTGGTGCAATTTGAGGCCATTACCTCTTGTCCTGTCGCTTGTTACTTGGTTAAAGAGGCTCATCCCCAGCTCTCTGCAACCTCCTTTCAGGGAGCTGTAGAGGGCGATGAGGTCTCCCCTCAGCCTCCTCTTCTCCAGACTAAACCCCCCCAGTTCCCTCAGCCGCTCCCCGTACGACCTGTGCTCCAGACCCTGCACCAGCTCCGTTGCCCTTCTCTGGACACGCTCGAGTCATTCAATGTCCTTTTTGGAGTGAGGGGCCCAAAACTGAACACAGGAATCGAGGGGCGGCCTCAGCAGTGCCGAGTACAGGGGTCAGATCCCTTCCCTGTCCCTGCTGGCCACGCTATTGCTGACACAAAAGCCCCGAAGCCAGCCCAAGGGAAAAAGCCGTTTCACAAGATTTCAGTGACAAGGCCGGGGCGGCTTTTCCCTCAGCTACGCTTCTACGGCTTAAAGATGAGGTGTAAGAGCGGGGAGGAGCTGGCCCAGCTCAGTCAAAACCTCCACGTGCTGTAGATGGGGATAAAGTTCCTGTGATGCACATGAGGAATATATTGGGGAAAATGGTCTGGGTTATTCCTGCACCAGGCAAAGGTAAAGGCAAACCCATCCACGGGATTGCTTTTGCCCAAGGACCTGGGTGCACCTGGTGGGTGATGCAGGACAATGGAGAGGTCCGATGTGTACCACAGGGGGACTTGATTCTGGGTGACAACATGCCGTGAACTATGCTGTGCCTGTGTAAATTATTATCGTTAACTGCTAAATGGCAGCTGGACATGACGCAGATGGTATAGAATAAAGGGGTGGATTATGTCCTGGTTCAGCTGGGATAGGGT